AGCTGCCACGGCCGTCTGTGGCGGTTTTTCTATAGGTGCTAAAATATTCCACCCTGGTGACTACTGAGTGCTGGGGGGTGGGCGAGGGTGGGAGCGGAGGGCGGGAGAGACCCCTACAGTCCTCTGTCCCCAGGGCCCAGCTTGCTAGGATGGGTCCTCTGGACCCCCATTTCCCCTTTCCCCACCTCCGGTCCTCACCCCTCAGGGCTGCTGGGACTTTAGAGCTCTGAGGCAGGCCAGCTGTGTCCTGGTGTGATTTCTAATCTAAGCAGCTGAGCTGTCTCAGTTTGCCCCATCTGTAGAATGGGCTTGTCTGACTTTAAGGAGCTCTCTGGGCCAATAACCTCTGGACCCTGTGGCTCTGGCATTTTGTTTGGTTTTTTAATTTTAATTTTAATTTATTTTTTAACATCTTTATTGGAGTATTATTGCTTTACAATGGTGTGTTAGTTTCTGCTATATAACAAAGTGAATCAGCTATATGTACACATATAACCCCATATCCCCTCCCTCTTGCATCTCCCTCCCACCCTCCCTATCCCACCCCCCTAGGTGGTCACAAAGCACCAGGCTGATCTCCCTGTGCTATGTGGCTGCTTCCCACTAGCTATTTTACATTTGGTAGTGCATATATGTCCATGTCACTTTCTCACTTCATCCCAGCTTACCCTTCCCCCTTCCTGTGTCCACAAGTCCATTCTCTACTTCATTCCTGTCCTGCCCCTAGGTTCTTCAGAACCATTTTTTTTTTTTTTTTTTTTAGATTCCATATATATGTGTTAGCATACGGTATTTGTTCTTCTCTTTCGGCTCTGGCATTTTGAGGTGGACTTTTCCCTCCCCCCACCAGCTGTCCCACCTGCCTGGCCCAAGTCCCCTTCCCCTCCAGCCCTCCCAGTCCTCTTCACAAGCTCTCCGGGCCCCTGTGGGACCAGGGAGGCCTGGCTGGGCTGCCAGAGTGAGCCAGTTAGTGGGTGCTCTGCTGGCCTGGGATGACCTTTCCCCAGAAACTAGGACCAGGTTCAAATCATGGTTCAGATACTTGCTTACTCCCTCAGTGACCCCAGGAAAGGGTCTTCCTCTCTCTAGGTTTCTTTTTTTTTTTTTTTCCTCCAGGTTTCTTACCTGTGAAACTCAGCGAGTTGTTATGAGGGTCAAATGAGAGAATGGAGAATGGGCAGAAAGCTTTGGCAAAATGTACAGATGGACGAAGGTTTCTACTGTCATATCCCATCAAACTTCAGAGCAAGTCTCCCCTTGCAGAGAGTTTTTCCTAGCCACCCGGGCCATGCCACATGCCTCAGTTTCCCCATTGGTAACAAGTGTGGTGTCATGGGGCTCTTGTGACGATTAAATGAGACAATGCTCGTGAAGGTCTAGAGCAGTGCTGGCTGATGACAGTCACTCAAGAGATGCTTTTTCTCTGCCCTCCATCCGGAGGGGCTTCTGCGTTAGATGATGACAAAGTCTATTTGCCCTTTGGGGCCCCAGTCCAGACTGTCTCATTACAGATGAGGCCTCTGCAGTCCAGTGAGGACAAGCAACTTGCCCAGGGTCACCCAGCTTCTGACACCCAAGTCTACCACCCACACCCGTGCAGCCTCTGCACACCTGTCTCCCTGCCCCGCACACGGCTAGAAGCTACTTAAACAAAATTCTTCCTTTAGTCTTTAATCATCCTCAGAGGGCTTCCCTGGTGGCTCAGTGGTTAAGAATCCGCCTGCCATTGCAGGGGACACGGGTTCGAGCCCTGGTCCAGGAAGATCCCACATGCCGCAAAGCAACTAAGCCTGTGCGCCACAACTACTGAGCCTGCGCTCTAGAGCCCATGAGCCACAACTACTGAGCCTGTGTGCCACAACTACTGAGCCTGCGCTCTAAAGCCCGTGCTCCGCAACAAGAGAAGCCACTGCGATGAGAAGCCAGCACACTGCAACAATGAGTAGACCCCGCTCGCTGCAACTAGAGAAGGCCTGCGCGCAGCAACCAAGACACAACACAGCCAAAAATAAATAAATTAAAAAAAAAAATCATCCTCAGAACATCCCCTTAAAGTGGATACTGTCCTCCCCACTTTACATATGAGGAAACTGAGGCCCAAAGAGGACAGAGCTGCCCAGAGTCACACAGGGGTGGATGGTAGAGAAGAGACTCTTTTTTCTGGGGTCCATGAAGCTCTCCCTGCCTGGAGCTGTCCTTTCTGCCTCTCCCCACTTCCTTCCATTCCACCCTCAGCCTCCACAGGACTCTCCTTACAGGAGATGAGCAATGGGGGCTGCAGACGCCTAGCAAGGGGACCATAACCAGATGCTTCCTCTCAACCCCTGTGTCGTCACAGCCACCAGGCCTCCTCCTCCTCTTTCCCTGAACTCACTGATCCTGAGCCACCAT